GCCTCACGGGAGCTTATTGGGGCGTCTTGGGGGTGTCTTGGAGAGTCTCTTGGGGCCTCTTTCGGGGTCCTGGGCGCCTTCTGGGGCGGAGGGCTCGATTTTTCAGTTCTCGGTTCCCTTCTTGAGCCCCTCTTGGGCCCGTCTTGGGGCCTCTTGGTCCCGAGCTTGGGGTCCCGAGCTTGTGCCCGTTGCAGGAGCTGGCGCGTCGTACTGCATCCTCGCCAAACTTCTCGGACATCTTCGTGCTCAGGATGGAGGCTGGGCTGCAGGCCACCTCCATTAGCTTGACCCCTCCATGGGCGAGTAGTGCCTCGAGGTCCTCGGTGTGGTTGGTCTCCTTGATGCACCTCGCAAGCCAGCGCTGCTTCCGTGGGTCCAGCTCCTTCGTGTGGTTCAGACCCCGTCCAGACCATCCTGATTGGAACCCACTGGAAGAAAGCTCCCGTCGGACATGCTCGGTGCCCTCGGCTGCTCCTCAAGCCTCTCCAGTCTCTGGTTGAGCTGGCCCAGCGCTGATAGCATCTCCTCCTGGACGCGGCGGTTGGCCTGCTTCTCCTCCAGGTCTGCAGCCTGCTTCTCCTCCTTCGCGAGCTCGTCCTCCACCAGAACGTCCACTGTCCTTCGGCGAGATGACCTCGCGCCCCTTCGAGCCCTGGTCGGCTCCACTGGGACATCCACACGGTTCCTGGCCATCTGCTTCTGTAGTTGGACGACCCCCGTCCCGTTGAGCTACGAGACAAACCTGACGAGCTCCCAGCTGCTCTCTCAGTTCGCCTTCCTCTTGGCCCACTCGGCGTAGAACGGGTACTGGATCAGGACCTGCTGGTAGGTCATGGCGCCGTGTTTCCCTAACCCCATGTAGTCGGTCGGCATCGGCGTGGTCTTCTGGAGGACTGCCCTTGCGGATCGCTAACTTGAGCGCGGCACTCGTTATGTTCGGCGTCATGTGGGCCCCGACCTGAGTCGCCTTCTCGATCAGCTCGGCCTTCTTCATGGAGCTGATGCCCTTCACGGCCTTCTGTGCCTCCGTCTCGTTCCGCGAGAACAGGTTCTCCTTGATGATCTGCTTCAGCTCGTCCGAGCTCCAGGCGGTGCTGAAGGGGAGGCCAAGCTCCTCGATCACCTTCACCGCCTCCGCCTTGAGGAGTCCCTGCACCCCACTGAGTGATGTTGGCATTGCCCCTACCCGGGTCGCACTGGCACGCGGTCCTGACACAGGCTTGCTGGAGGGCCCCTCGAATGAAGCCGCTGCAGAGCATCCCTCTGCCATCGACAGGCGGCGGCGGGGGATCCGGATGATATTGCAGGTCTCGCGGTGCTGGTTGCCCCACTGAGTCGATCGATCCACCTGCTGGAGATCGTGCCGGGCTCGAGCGGCAACGGCTATGGACGTGTCCGTGACCCCCGCCAGGATCTGGTGACCACTCGGCCTGCTCTCTCGATTCTGGTTCGACCGAAGGTTGGCTGACGTCGGGGATTGCAGCATTCCTCATCTCGCACTGTGCGCCGATCCTGGCCCTGCTCTGAGTCCTGGCTCGTAACTGCACTCTGCCGGCCCCACTCAGAGATGTGGCGGCTGATCTCGATGAAATTTTGCAGCTGGTCCGGGTCCTTGACCTTCTGCTCGAGGAGGTCATCCACTAGGCTCATGTAGTACTGGCCACCATCTGGCGACTCCTCAAGCTGGACTGGGACATCTGGGGCCAGCTTCACGTCTACTGCGACACCGGTGTCGCAATCCACGACTGCCCCCAGCTTCTTCAGCACCTTCTCAGACACAAAAATCAAGACAACCTTCGCAAAGCCGTTGATGGCGATGTCTCCCTGCACGCCCGCGCCCGTGATCCCGAACTACACCTGTCCGTAGGCGCGCTCCTTCTCGCCGTTCCCGAAGCTGTACTCCGGGCGGTAGTCGAGGTTCGCGCCCTGGAGCCGTGTCTCCCCGTACTTCTCCATGTTCTTGCCGGCAACGATGTCAAGCCTACGCTCGCCTCCCGTGGCGTCCGTGCAACCCAGGTCGACGATCCCCTTGCCCTCACGGATGGCCTGCTCTGCAAACATCGCCTCGCACGTCGAGTCCCCAGACTCCTGCTCGGCAACCATCGCGGCCACGAGGTTGAACTTCAGCTCCTTCCTGCAGGTGGCCACCCTCGCGCTTGCGTCTGTCGAGCTCGTCGTGCCACCTCGGAGGCGTGGGTCATTGACGGTCAGGACATTCCTGCAGCCAATGAGCTCCACCACACTTCGTGCACTTCTTCTGGCCCTTGTTCGGTTGCTTGAGCTGTCCCCTGCCTCTGAACTGGTGGCCCATCGGCCGGCGCGACCCCGCTGGAAATCCTCCGCCGGCTCCTCGGCCACCGCCCTTGGCAGGGTTAGCCGGTCGCCCTCCACGGTAGAAGCCCCGGCTCAGGCGACTGTCCGCCTGTGCCTCGCGAGCCCGGCGAAGGGTCCGCTGGGCGCTGTGGATCGCGGCCAGGGCCTCCGCCTCCTCCTGCTGGGCCGCCGAGTACGTTTCGATGTCGTCCTGATCTGCCTCGGCTTGGTCGGGCTCCTCGTCGTACATCCCCGGAGGCTCCTGACCTGCCGCGAAGCTGCCGGCTTCCAGGTCGTCCTCCTCGGCGTCCATCCATGTACGGGCATCCTCTCTTAGCTGGGCTGCATATGCCTTCGGGTACTTGGCCTGTCCGTCGCGCTCGGCTAGGTCATCATCTTCCCAGCTCGATATCAGCTTCTCGCGTATGATGTTGATGTCGAGCGATCCTCCTGTCGTGGTCAAGATCGCCGATCTCTCGCGGGAATCAGCGCCTGAGCGCGTGAGCATCAGCCAGCCGAGGACGAGTCCTGGGCAGACCTCTGGCACCTCGTCGAGCTCCTTCTCAGCCTCAGCGTCCGGGGCTGCAGCACTCCAGTGGTGGGAGTCCTCAGTCTCCTTGTCGTCTCATCCGTTCGTGTACTCCCATGTCCACTCAGAGTCGAACGGCCAGTCCTTCTCGATCCATCTTCATGGCCTGGACGTCTTCTGGACCGTTGACGATGAGCTGGACACTGGGACCGACTGTCCCAGGGCGCGCGCAAGCGCGCGTCGGAGGTACTGGTAGCCTGTCTTGAAGCGGTCCGTCCACTGCTGCATCGGCTCGAGCTTCCTGCGCTTCGTCTTGATCAGGAATGTCTTGAGCTCCTGGCCGACATGAGGCACAGCTTGACGCGAGCATCTTCGCTCGAGCCAAGCCAAAAGCCTCTCGACCCCGTCTACTCTGGAGAGCCAGCCTGGCTTGCAGCGTTCAACCGCGACCTCGGCCCTGCTCGTGAGTCGTGCCTCGAGCCTCGGGTCGCACAGGTACCTGTCCTCTCTCTTGGTGCCCTCCTGGTACTGGAGAGCCTTCCGTCCGTACGTCCGCCAGGTCTTAGGGTCTCCATCCCAGCCTGGCACCTTCTCCCGATGATCGTCACTCGACTTCATCGCAAGGTTCCGTGTCAACCACGGTCTCCTGCTACCATCCAAGTCTAGTTGGGTATAGCGCAGTGGTATATTTTATCTCTCCACCCGTCGATCTTCGTCAGATCGGGCTCCTCTCCAGGAGCCTCTAGTCAAAAACGTGTGCCCCTAAGCACAAGCGAGGGGGCGCTCGCTTGAGCCAAAATGGCCACGGGCATACATGGCATAAGCACGCTCACCTCACATGGAATGTTCAGGCTTGTCAGTAAGGAAATCTGCAGCCCGAGGGGCCTCTTGGGCCCCTCTTGGGCCTCTCTTGGGCCATCTTGGGACCATCTTGACGCCTCAAGAGCGCATCGGAAGCGAAAATGAGAGAAATAACACATCATTGGTTTCTGTAGGCTTTTGAATGATTGTGGCTTCTTTGGGGGATCCTCAGGGGCTCCGAGAGCACTTGGAACCGTCTTGTGGCCCCAGCCGGGCCTCTTGGAGGTATGTTGGAAGCTATCTTGGACCATCTCAGGCTATCTTGAGCCGCCTTGGAGGTCATCTTGGGTCTTGGAGCATCGGAGGCTCTCTTGGAGCCATCCTGGGCCATCTTGGACGCTCTAACCCCTCCGCCCCGTCCCTTCGTCCAGACCCAGGGAGGGGGGTGGGGGGGCGAGGCAAGCCTCCCGCAGGGACGAGGGTTTTGGGAAGGGGAGAGATATCGCTGGACCAACTTAGCCCAGAAGGCTGGTGGGAGACCTTGTCCACCCGTGTACCCGCCCTCCTCGTCCTCGTCGTCGTCGTCGTCGTCCTCCTCCTCCTCCTCCTCCTCCTCCTCCTCCTCCTCCCTCCTCCTCCTCCCACCGCCCCCTCCCACCCGCCCTCCTCGTCCTCCTCGCTCCTCCTCCCACCCCCCCTCCCACCCGCCCTCCTCCTCCTCCTCTTCCTCCTCCTCCTCCTCCTCCTCCTCCTCCTCCCACCGCCCCCTCCCACCCGCCCTCCTCGCCCTCCTCGCTCCCTCAGCCTCGGACACGGCTGTGGACTGCGCCCCCCTGCCCTCCGCCCGCCCCCTGCGCCGCCACGGCGGGCCCGCTCCATTCACCGCCACCCACCGACCCCCCCCCCCGCCCAACCCGAAGGCCCCGATGGTCCGCATCGTGTCACCGACCCCCATCCCCATCCCCATCCCCTGCCCCCCCCAAATTACCCCCCAGTTGGGGATGCACCCCTCGAAAGCCAAAGGACACGGCCTGCATCCCCATCCCCCCCATCCCCATCCCCAGCCCCCCCCAAATTACCCCCCAGTTGGGGATGCACCCCTCGAAAGCCAAAGGACATGGCCTGTATCCCCATCCAGGGGGGTAAATCGGCCAGTGGGGCCCAGGCCACACCGCTGGGGGCAGGGATCGGACAAACGATACTAAGATTTGCCATCCATTTCCACTGGGGGTGGGTGGGGAGCAATGATAAACACATATGAAGTCCGCACCCCCCTCAACCCGAAATTCGGGTCCTCGGGTTGGGTTAGGGGTGGTCTGGCAGGTAGTCGTCCATGGACCCACCGGCCGGCCCGGAGGACGGCGAGGTGTGCCTGACCATCATGAAAGCCATGCGCGCGGATGGCGTGGTGCCAGACCAGGACGGGCGGGACGGAGGAGGGGGTGCCTCCTCATCGCTTCTTCCTCCAGTCCCCCCCCCGCCCTGTGGTCTCCTGTCTACCCGAGAGCGCAAACAGCGGCACAATGCAGACAGGACACATTCGAGTGTCAGCGCGGGTGTCTTGGGTCAGCGCTAGGCCCCCCCGTCCGCTTCTGGTGGCGCTGTTGTTCTCACCCGAAAACTACTGCGCGGATCATCCTGCTCTCGTGCGGATCAGGATGTGGTTCCGCGGCGAGCGAGGGGGTAGTGAGGAGGAGAGGGCCTTCTCAGAAGGCGGCGGGACTTCTCAGAAGCCCCTGCGCCTTCTGAGAAGTTTTCCATGTCTTCGGGGAAGGCTTGGGAAACTTCTCGGAGGGCCGGGGGACTTCCAGGCCTTCTGAGAAGGCCCGCCTTCTCTCACCTTCCCCCCCGGGCGCGCCGCTTAGTGGTGGAGGATCGCTGCATCTGGCATGTCCTATGATGCACTCCTGGCTCTCAGTCGGGCCTGTCCCTCTACAGGGGGAATATTCAAAAATAGGAGAAACATAGTCTGGGGAGGATTTTTTTTTTTTGATTTGTTTCGAATGTCTTTGAGCATTTTTGACTATTTTGAATTCTTCGCCCAAGCTCCGCCTGTAGGGGGACATGCCCGACCTAGCCCAGGCGCATCGATGGGGGCGGCATGCCGCTGGCTGGGGGGTGCTCGAGGCCGCGCTCCCCCATGTGCACCTGTCCGTCGGGGGCCTTGGCGCCCGGTGCCGCTGCTCAGTTCGCGCGGCACGCAGGGGACACATTCCCCGAGTCCAGTACAGTCAACCCGCATAGGAAAGATGGGCAACCTTCCCAAGGGTACCCTTGCATCCTTCCCTCCTCGGTCAATCTTTGGCCACTTTCGTTGGCCGCGCCCCGCTCGAGAAGCTTCGAAATGGGCGTCCAAGGCCCTTGCATCCTTATCGCGCATTCTTATCATACGGTCCGACTGTAGCAGTCTCCTCATGCGTGCTACGATCTTTCAACATCCAGATGGTAGCGGACTCTGGGCAGCCATGAACGCCACCTCCCTCCCTACTTGGCCCTCCCTCGTCTGTCCTCCCTCCTCCCACGCCGCTCCTGGGGGAACTGAACAGAGCGACACCGCTACTCACCAGACCTTCCGGAGTGCTATTCCAGGAGTTCAAGGCGAATCCAGCCGCTGCGACGAGGGAAGGGTAGCAGTATCGGTGTGTCATCCTCCCCCGGCCTGCCCCTTTCTTTCGCCGCCCCTCGTCGCCCACTCCCCCTCTCCGCCATCCCTCCTCCTCCTCCTCCTCCTCCTCCTCCTCCTCCTCCTCCTCCTCCTCCTCCTCCTCCTCCTCTTCCTCCTCCTCCCCCCCCCTCCTCCCTCCTCCCCCTCCTCCCTCCTCCTCCTCCTCCTCCTCCTCCTCCTCCTCCTCCTCCTCCTCCTCCTCCTCCTCCTCCTCCTCCTCCTCCTCCTCCTCCTCCTCCTCCCCCTCCTCCTCCTCGTTCCTCTCGTGGTCTCTCGAGCCATCGAGGAAACGACAGTAGGACGCAACCACAGTACAATCAGTCCCTCCCCTCTCGTGGCTCCCTCCTGCTCTCCCTCGCTCCCGTGCTCGTGCTCTGCTACTGGCCGCCGTTCTGTCCTCGTGCCCCCGCTGCCGGTGGGTGAGGCTAGCGTGGCGAGGCAAAAGAGGTGGATGAGGGAGAGGGCGCGGAGGGGAACGTGGTCGAGGAGCGGCTGGGGGAGAAGGCAGCGGAGGGTGCTGCTGCTGCTGCTGCTGCTGCTGATGATGATGAGGATGATGATGATGATGATGATGATGATGATGATGATGATGATGATGATGATGATGATGATGATTACGAGGACGATGATGATGATTATGATGCTGATGATGATGATGATGATGATGATGATGATGATGAGGATGATGATGATGAGGATGATGATGATGATGATGATGATGATGATAGTTATGTGATGATGGCAATGTTGCTGATGGTGATGATGACGATGATGATGCTGCTGATGATGCTGATTACGAGGATGGTGATGACGATGACGGCGTCGACGACGATGAAGATGACGACGACGAACGTCGATGATGATGATGACGATAACGACCACGACGGACGATCTCGAAGATTACGAACGGACGATGACGGACGATAACGACCACGACGTCCGATGACGACGGTCGATGACGACGATGACGAACGACGATGACGGAGGACGACGATAACGACCACGACGATGACGATGACGACGACGTCGATGACGAATGACGATGAAGATTATGACGACGACGATGATGACGATGGCGACGACGATGATGACGATGACGACGATGATGACAATGACGATGACGATGACGACGCTGATGACCGCGATTGATGATGACGATGACGGCGACGGCGATGACGGTGCCGATGATGACGACGATGACGACGCCGATGATGGCGATGGCGACAATGACGACGACGATGATGACGAAACTGACGACAACGACGTCGAACACGACGACGATGACGACGATGGTGACCGACGACGCCGACGACCATGATGAAGATGACGACGAAGACAACAACGACGACGATGGCGATGATGACGACGATACTGATGATGACGATGTAACGACGACGACGGCGACGACGACGACGACTGCGCTGATGATGGTGCGGCTGATGCTGATGACGATGATGACGACGACGATGATGACTACGATGATAACGACGATGACGACGACGACGATGACGATGACGACGATGACGATGGAGACGATGATGATGATGATGATGATGATGATGATGATGATTACGATGACGATGACGACGATGACTGCGGCGACGGCCACGACGACGATGATGACGATGCCAACGTCGATGACGATGGTGACGATGATGACGACGATACTGATGACGATGACCACGACGACGACGATGAAGAGGACGATACAGACGACGACATTGATGATGACGACGACGATGATGACGATGACGTCGATGATTCTGATGATGACACCGACGACGATCACGATGCTGACGATGACAATGACGATGACGATGCTGACGATGACGATGGCGATGATGACGGCGACGATGACGACGATGATGATGCTGACGATGACGATGGTGATGATGATGGCGACGATGACGACGACGATGATGCCGATGACGACGACCATGATGACGATGACGAAGAGGACGATGCCGATGACGACGACGCCGATGATGATGATGACGGCGATGTCGACAACGACGGCCACGATGACGACGATGTCGATGACGACGAGGACGACGATGACGATACCGATGGCGACGAGATGACGATGACGATGGCGAGGACGACGACGATGACGATGACGACGGTGACGGCGACGACGACGACGACTATTACGACGACAATGACGGCGACGGCGATGACGATGACGACGAAGAGGGGCCAAGCGATTGATCTCGGTGAGGTGTGTAGCGGCGAAGCCCGCATGTAACATCTTGTCATACTTCTTCAACTCACGACAGACGAGATCTTCGACCTGGTGACCGTCTGCGACCCAGGCGGCCCACAAGGACAACAACGTTCCCTCAGGTACCTCAGACCCAACCGAGTTCTGGTAGTGTTTATGGCACCATCGTGCCGCTGTATATGGCCTCTCAGGCGTTTCAACTACTGTATCAATCATAAGACCTCGAGGGTACCTTATGACCCCCCCACATAACGTCGTGTGGCCAGGTGGTGATTACCCACATACAGGGGACATACACTTCTGCGTCGAACAACCGAGCCCCATTTGGCTCAGTACCGTACCGCCTTGGAATTGCATATCGCACTGCCCACAAGTGGACGCGATGGTGTTCGACCAGTGTCAGGGGCCCAGGGCCCACAAATCACCACTTCTACTCACATCGTTTCGCAACTTTCGGTGCTTAGGCGGCCAGGACCAGGACGTCAATTGGGGCCATAGTCAACGCACGAAATTACTGCAGGACTGGCCATGGCGCTTGGCAGAGCGCGTGGTGCAAGGTATTTTCACGCTCAGGATATCGCTACATAGCTGGGCCACTCTCTTGGCTGAGCCCTACACAGCCGCACTGTCACGAGTCAGCCCAGATTATCTCAAATAATCCGGACGCTTGGAGGCACCGCCAGCGCCAACGCCAGCAACCATTCCAAGTCCAACAGGCAAGTCTCGGGCCCGACTCGGGCGTCTGGCACCCAGAACCCTGTTGGAACCCGAGGTGCCAGGCAGTCAGCCAACGCACCGAACGCGAAACGATGCCCAGAATGCTCAGGCTGCCGCGGGAAGCACAATGGCCTGGATCCGCGGCGCAGCAAGATCTTGGGGCAATTTACAGCCTCACTGGGCATCGAGTCACCGAGCTTTCGCCCTGGCTGCATTCGTGGCCCGCCAAGTTCTCGAGTTCACCCTGACCGCGCTAAGCGCCCAAGAGACTGCCGCTGGTTCGACGGCCCGTCAGGGCAACTCGTGAGCGCCGCGCCGGCCAACGCGTGTTCTTTCTTCGCGAGGCTCGAGTGCAACAATCTCACGGCCCCGTGGTACGTAGGTATCCTTGGATCCCAGGTGAGTCCTGGCACCGACGGGGCCCCGCCAGATCGGGGCCCCGTCGGCGACCCTGTGCCGCCAGCACTCATGCGCGACGATCTCTTTGACGGAGACGGCCCGCCGCCGCCGCCGCCAGATCTTGCGGTTCTGAGGCCTCCCAGAGCACATCGACCACATCCGCGAGTCGTGGGCGCTGCTGCTGGACGCGCGCAAGAGGACTGGACGAGCTTCGACGTCGCGCAGAACCCGCGGGTGCCGCGCGCAGGCGATGCGCCGCAGATGCGACGATGAATGCGTAAGCTGCATAACCGCTGGTGCTTACGCTCCGCGGACACGCGTGGAACGTATTGGTCGCAGCCCGCTGCTTGCGCCAAGTCATCGCGGGCGTGGTCAGCGCTTGCCGTGAGTGCTGGGCGCGGGCCTCCACGGCGTCGCA